AAATTTTAATCAGGACCAAACAGAGACTAATAGACTCATAGTGGACATTATTAAATGCGTCTAGATAAAAACAATATAAAATATTGCTGGCCATCAATCATTTAATTATACCTACCAATAATATTATTGTAGTATTGTCAAAAAAAAAAAATAGTTTGTCTTAAGGTGATAAATGGGTCAAGTTGCTCGCAAGCTCAGCTTATCTTGATTCGGTCTCGTTTTGAGACAAGCCATGAGTCGAGTCGAGCTCATATTATTTTTCATGAGTTAAAATCGTAGGCTCGTCTTATCCCTGCTCGGCTCATTAGGCTCGTGAGGTCCACAAGTTGACTCATTTGAGCTCGTGCGCACGAGCTAGCTCATAGGAATTTGTGGACTGGCTCATTTTTAGATTTGTTTTATTAATTTAGAAAAAATTGCTCATTTTTAGGCTTATCTTGTTAATTTATTTAAAGAAAATAAAAAATCAAGCTAGCTCATGGGACAACTCGTTTGGACTCATAGAATTTGTGGACAGCTTGATTCATGAGGCCTATGAACCCCAAACAAGCTTGAGCTCGGCTTCTCATTCGACTCTTTATCACTGATATTAAAATGCTAGATTGGTAAGACTCTGTCTATATAAAAATCGTAGTAGGATTAAATTAGTTATTAATCAAAGAAGATATATATTCAAGATTCATGACAGCTAGTCTGTGTTTTGCTTGGCTTAAAAAAAGAGTAAAAATACTAATAATTTCCTTTGAGCTTAATCAAACGTGTGAAAAAAGGGTCCCAAAAATTATATAGATAATAAGTAAATAAAACTTATAAATTTGTGATTAAAATTAATATTTGATTTTGCGAATAAAATATTTTTGGGAATAATATGTAGTTAAAAAGTAAGAAAAATTATGCATCTGTGTGCATTTTTTTAAAGATTAAATGGTTAAAAATGAATTTGAAAAAAAAAAATTTAAAAATGGAATCAAACATGAACTAAATTATAAGACAATTATAATGAACCATCTAAGTAAACTTAAAAATTAATTTTAAGTAACAAAGTAACACCAAAAAAAATGTACAATTAAAAAGTTAATAAAAACGTGTGATTAAAATTAAATTTGATAAGTTGAAGTATATAAGTTTTTAATGTTTTTAAAATGATAATTGAACATGCTAATTTTCTCCAACAACTTCCGAGTTAAATGTTTTATCAATAAATGTACTTAAATCTCGATCACATTTCATTTACTAAACTTTAAAATCCCTCTGAGTGGTCACTACATTTTAACACGCTGCATTTAATCATTCACTCGTTATACTTCCCAAGTCACTGAACTTTAAAGTGTTTTTGATCGATCATTGAACTTTAATACGTTGCACTTCATTATCCACCCATCATGTTTCATTAGTTAATAAACTTATGCAACCGTTATGCTTTACTCACTAAATTTTAAAAATGCTTTTGAGCGTTCACTGAAATTTATAATATTTTTAAATAAAATTAATTTTCTATGAGATTCAACATAGATAGAAATAAAAAAAATATCAAATAGAAAATGAGACTCTCAATCTAAGAAAATATTGATATCGGTAATATATATATATATATGTATGTATGTATGTATATATATATAATTTCTCTAGTCCTCAAAACCAATGTTCAAGGGCGTGAAGTATGCTAGTTTCAAATTGACATAAATCTTAATTTAGATTATAACATTCCTTTACGTCAAGAAAATCAAATTGAGAAATTATTTTTTATTTCAATTTAGATTGTAGACCCAAATCAAGAAAATAAAAAACTATATCTCAAACACAAAATGAAATTTTCGATTTATGGTCAATAATATTAATCAAGATTAATAAATATAATTTTTAGAATTGTTGCAAGGTAATTCATGAGTAAAGAATGGTGTCATCTTCACTTTTGGTATTTTATATTTCAAAATTTTCAATTTTTGAATAGATGAATTCAACAAGTAGAGTTCAGAAAATAAAACACGAAGATGATATAAGTTTAGTGAATAATGGAATATGGTCAGGAAGTAATGAAATGCAATATGTTAAATTTCAGTGATTACTTGAAAATATTTTAAAAGTTCAGTGAGTAAATTGTGACGAAATATAAATTCAAGGTAGAATTGCAGTCAAGATACCAAACCTTTCATTTATGAGTAGATTTGATCCAAACTTTTCATTTGTGTCATCCAAAGTACTAAACCTTTAAAAAAATTCACGGATGAAGTCCAAAATGACAATTTCCGTTAATTTGACCCCATAAACCGTCAATTGACGCCATAAATGAATTTTTTTTATAATTTTGACAAAATAAGGCAATGCCATTTTGGATAAAACACATTTCTCTTATTAAATAAAAAAAACAAAAAAAAAAAAAAACTACTATTTATCTTCTTCACCCATTCTTCTACCAACACCCCAGTCGTCTTCTTCACCAACTCTTCTACCAACACCCCACCCCACCTCAGTTTCCCTTCTCTAGCCAAAGAGGGAGCTACTTGTTTGGCAAAGCTAAAAAGTGGCTGAGTAAGATTTAAGAGGCTGTGATGATAATCGTCTTATTCCTCTAAGCAGATGAAATGGGTAGTGAGACAATTCANAGCTCCCAATTTGGGTACCATTATTGAGACATATTTAGACCACGGTTTCTACAATCACATTCATTGAGATTCGTTACATATTAGGGAATCAGCGTCGAAGGCGTTTTTAGTTGCAAGCTAGAAATTTCATATTTTATTGCACTGACGATTTTTCTTGGCAACCGAGAGGATAGCTCGACCCTGTTTTAAATTTTGGATTTACTACTGATTTGGGTGATAGCCTTAGTCAAATAATCTGGTGAAAAGATTGGATAACAAAGAAGCCATGGTTGAAAGGGATTTCGTGGACTTTTTCTTTACTTCAATTTTTCAATTTAAAGCTATTTGGAAAGTGGATAATATGAGCTATACTCCAATATATTCAATAATTCAAACTCACTCTCTTACCCTCAATACTTTCTAGTTTTTCCATTTTCTGGTTTCAAACCCCATTTCTAGATCTACAAGCTCTAAAGCTATGAACTACCAATTTAATGAAGGAAATGTGTTCTACCCAAAATGTCCTTGTCTTATTGGTCAAATTATAAAAAATATTTATTTATGTGGTCAACCGATTGTTTTTGGGGTCAAACTAATGAAAACCGTCATTTTGGATTTCATTTGGGAATTTTTTAAAGGTTTGATACTTTAGATGACATAAATAAAATGGTTGGATCAAGTCCGTTCCTAAATGAAAGGATTGGGACCTTAACTGCAATTCTTCCTAAATTCAATGACTAATTAAACATCCAGCTCAACAGCTTCCAGTCGTCAGCAAAGGAGTTTGAATTCGACTTGTGAACTGCTGGATGGGATTTCCAAGCATAGAAATGCTAAGAGCGCGTTTCACTGCAACAGTGAAAAATGGGTAAAAAGAAAATATTTTATAGAGAAAAGATTTACCTTGAAGATATTTTGTAGAAAAAATAATTTCAAATGTATTTGATTAGTATAATTTTCCACCCAATTTTTTTTTGAAATTTTGGATTTTTTTGTTCACATTTGACTTTATTTTATATGGAAATTATCTATTAAAATGAATTTTTTTTACAATTGATTATGAAATTTGTTAACATTGCCAAAAAGTTAAAAAAAACATTTTTTCATCAAAATTTAGTATTTGTTGCTTTGTTTTATATGGAAATTTTTCAAAGCTCCCAATTTGGGTACCATTATTTAGACCACAGTTTCTACAATCACATTCATTGAGATTCGTTACATATTAGGGAATCAGTGTTGAAGGCGTTTTTAGTTGCAAGCCAGAAATTTCGCATTTTATTGCACTGACGATTTTTCTTGGCGATGGAGAGGATAGCTCGACTCTGTTTTAAATTTTGGATTTACTACTGATTTGGGTGATAGCCTTAGTCAAATAATCTGGTGAAAAGATTGGATAACAGAGAAGCCATGGTTGAAAAGGATTTCGTGGACTTTTTCTTTACATCAATTTTTCAATTTAAAGCTATTTGGAAAGTGGATAATATGAGCTATACTCCAATATATTCAATAATTCAAACTCACTCTCTTACCCCTAATACTTTCTAGTTTTTCCATTTTCTGGTTTCAAACTCCATTTCCAGATCTACAAGCTCTAAAGCTATGAACTACCAATTTAACGAAGGAACTGTGTTCTACCCAAAATGTCCATGTCTAGGTATCATGGTAGCTCTGCCGCCATCGAACTCTCTAGACAATGAATCCCTTTAAGGCAAATTGTGTCGCTCAAATCAAGGTCGGACACTGTAACTTGACATGACTATAACATAAAGCTTGAGGCGAGTGACCTATACAAAAGCATTGTGGTACAACAAAAATAGCCGAAATGAATGTTCTCCTTGTAACAACATACAAATTTTAGCAATTCTACTTTCTTGTTCTATCCAAATTTCCAACAATATAACTCAAACATTTCGCTTAATTCTTATAAGGGCCGAAATGAATGTTCTCCTTGTAACACCAAAACATGTTGCAATTTCAAGGTTTGATACTTTAGATGACATAAATGAAATGTTTGGATCAAATCTGTTCCTAAATGAAAGGTTTGGGACTTAACTGCAATTCTTCCTAAATTCAATGACTAATTAAACATCCAGCTCAACAGCTTCCAATCGTCAGCAAAGGAGTTTGAATTCGACTTGTGAACTGCTGTATGGGATTTCTAGCATAGAAATGCTAAATGTACACAGGGTGTCCCGTGTGCGCTCCCCTCACAAGGGGGGTCCACAGACAATAAAATAATCGTGGACCCTCTTGTGAGGAGGCGTGTACAACACCCCGTGTACATGTAGGATGTCACAGCAACTATTTAGATAAGCTGCTGTCTGCAGTCAACCACAGCACGGACAAAACGACCATTATAAAAATCTAACCATCCCCTACACTGCAACAAGTCTAACAGTGCGAGCATTTTTCACTCAAATGGCTAAGAATTCAGCAGGTTCCAGCGAAACAGCTGGGAATCCCATAAGATGCCGAGGTACGTTTAATCTCAATCTTCATTTTCACACTGACACGGGTGATGGATCGAGGATCGTTTAAGTGTGTGCGAGGAAAGACTAAAGAAGTTGATTGGTCAACGGTTCGTGTGCAGCGGCTGTGGTTAGGAAAGCAGGGGAGCCGCTGGTGATAGAGGAAATTATTGTGGCCCCTCCAAGATCTGGTGAAGTTCGAGTCAAAATTATATGTACTTCTCTCTGTCACAGCGATGTCACTTTCTGGAAATTGAAGGTTTTTGATCTATCAATTACATTTATTGCTGTTGATTCTGCTTTTCTCGACTTCACCTTGATAATTTTCAATCGTTTTTGACACTTTTGAAGGATCCTCCTGGTTGTGTTCCAAGAATTCTGGGGCACGAAGCGGTTGGGTAATTGTTTTTATTGATTTTTTAGTTGTATGGTTGAAAATGAAACAAAAAAGACACTGAAGTATTGATTTTTTTAATCAAAAGCTTCATATTAATTGTTCATACTATTATTCCAATAAAGTATCGATGAACTGCAGAATATGGACCGCAGAGCATGTTTGGCTAGGATTGAAAACTTTTACTTCTAAGTTTTTTTTTTAATCAAACATGTTTGGAAACAGAAGTAACTTTTACTTATTTTAGGCTTAAGCAAACATGTTTGTGCTAATTTTCAGGATGCTTTGTGAAATTATGCAACTGAGTATACTTGTAAACTGGAATAGCTAAAATCTACCTCTTTAAAGGGATAAATTCAATATTTCTAACCATCATTTTGGTCGTGTTAATTTACTTGATAACATCATGGACAAAGAGTGGATATTTGTTAATAATTCAGTTTTGTTTTGAATCTCATATATGCACGTGTTCACAACTATTCAATGTTATGTGATGAAGCATTGTGGAGAGTGTTGGGGAGGACGTACAAGAATTTAGTGAAGGCGATACAGTCATCCCAATATTTTTGCCGGACTGCGCCGAATGTGCTGATTGTACGTCAACAAAGAGCAATTTATGTTCAAAATTCCCTTTCAAGGTCTCTCCTTGGTTGCACGGAGATGGGACTAGCAGATTTACTGACCTCAAGGGAGAGACGTTATACCATTTCATATATGTGTCTAGTTTTAGTGAGTACACAGTTTTAAATACTGCTAATGTAACAAAAGTCGATCCTGCAATCCCGCCAAACAGAGCATGCCTCCTCAGTTGTGGAGTGTCAACAGGTATTGTGGCTCTCTTAATGGTTTAAACTCCCTCTCGGTTAATCTTTTGTTCATATTAAAGAGTTGAGCATGTAATTTTACATTGAACTGACATGGGAAATTAGTATTGGCATGATTCCACATTTTATCGAAATATTTTACTCTAACTTGATTCTTGAATAGAGCCTGAAGCACATCACTCAATACATAACATCTTTTTCAGGTGTGGGAGCTGCCTGGAGGACTGCAAATGTGGAAGCGGGATCAACGGTTGTGATCTTCGGGTTGGGAGCTATAGGATTAGCAGTATGATCTTCCACCTGATAGAATAGGAGAATTTCCTACTTTTCATATATTTTCTTGTTATAATTAAAATTGTTTTTTTCAAGAAAACCTATAAATTAGAGCGATGTTGCAGGTTGCAGAGGGAGCCAGGTTATGTGGTGCTAAAAAAATCATTGGCGTGGATATAAACCCACAAAAATTCGAAACAGGTAATTTATTTTTCCAAATTCTTCGTGATTTTAGCAACGCTAATTGCTAATCGATTAAAGGGGATAATGCAACATGTTCAGAACATATTCTGTGTATTCTGTCGTCCTTGGATTGCTGTTCTTTTTCTCTTACCCTTGTATACTCTAGAATCATTAATTCTGTCGAATATAAGTTTTGAGAAATAATGAATTCCCCTCATTTCATTTATCTGCTCTACATAGGTAAAATATTTGGAGTAACTGATTTTGTTGACTCCATGAACTGTGGGGATAAATCTGTACGGCAGGTAGTTCTCTTAATCCAATTCTATATTATTGTTTTCTAACACTCCAGTCCAAAATATCCTTAAAGGATTAGAGTGGATCGTAATCTCATGCTTGCTTCAATATTTATTAACTTTTCGTTCTTCATTATATTTCCTAGGTCATAAATGAGATGACTAATGGGGGAGCAGACTACTGTTTTGAATGTGTTGGAATGGCTTCTTTGGTCGAGGAAGCATATGCTTGCTGCCGAAAGGTTTTCTTCTGTCTCGTCTAAACTCCTTTCTATTTCACACACCGATGCTCACACTGTAGACATTCTTATAGATGCTACTTAAATAAGGCGTCTGAATATACCTTAGTTACATTGATAAGCAGAAGATATTTGACAAGAAGTTATCGATTTTTACCCTTTTCCATTTACCTTCCTTTTCGTCTAACTTCAGGGTTGGGGGAAGACCATCGTGCTAGGGGTGGACAAACCTGGAGCAGAGCTGAAATTTAGTTCATTTGAAGTCCTTCATTCTGGGAAAACTCTCATGGGATCCTTGTTTGGAGGTCTTAAACCAAAATCCGACATCTCCACCCTTGTCAAACATTATATGGACAAGGTAATTAAAGTTTATCCTAGTCCTTTCTGCTCTTTTCAGGATTAACTTGCTCGAATAATGAAGGAGATTCTGCTTCCGTTTTTTTATTAGCCTTCTTGTCAAACATTTTTTTTCCTCAAAATTTAGCTTAAATAAATATTGATCTTGCATTTCTGCACGTGCAGAAATTGCAACTCGACAAGTTCGTAACGCATGAAGTTGGGTTTGAAGACATAAACAAAGCTTTTGATTTACTTTTGGAAGGAAAGAGCCTCAGATGTGTGATCTGGATGGACAAATGAATTATTTTTTCTTACAATGTATGCATTTGCGATGTATCCATAAATAGAATTTCTGAGTATGAAAATCGCATTAAACTTTTGAGTATTGCTATTCAGCTCCGCTGAGGTTAAACCCCAGTCTACATGGTTGCACAATCAAAATCCAAAGCAACGAGTAATAGACTAATTAAGAGCTTGCTTAAAAAGTTTGTTTTTAAGTAAAAAAAAGTAAAGAAATAAGTTACGTATAACTTATGAATTACATTTTAGAAAAGTGAAATTATACGTGGAAGTAGAAGAAAGAGTAGGTTATCTAGAAAAAAAATTCTCTTTCGCCCCCTTTTGAGTTTTTACTACACGGATTGAAATATTAAAACTACACGGATTGAAATATTATGAAAATAAATAATGATCAAAGTGTGTGTATTTCATATATGAATAATGCTATTCATCTAAAGTATAGATTATCATCGATTTATGTAACGGTATATATGAACATTGCCAAATTGTCTAATGAAGTTGAAATATAACTTTATATATTGGACAATGTGACAATGACCTCACTATCACATAAATTGATGATTATCTGGATTGCAAGTGAATAACACTATTCTTCTGGCCTGGCTCGGATTGAAGGGGATTGGCTTGCCTATTTTAGAATTTTCACCCACATTAATTTCTAAGTTCCAAACCTAGCCCAAGGTTGAAAGAAAAAAAAAATCATGTGTAATTTTATTTATTTTTACGTATTAGCCCAGCCTGTAATTCAGTTCTGGATCCGTCCCTGCAAATAACCCTCGAGTACAACATGCTACAGATGTCCGTAGATGACTAAGAATATATCTATTGTAGAGATACGATGTGCAACTTTGTGTATTTGCAATGATAATCCCAATCTAATGAGCTGGGGGTGGGTGGGATGCATCAGTGGTGAATGAACCTAGTGTATACATAATACTCATCAATCCACTTTCAATTAAATGTCACTCAAGAACCAAACATAAGCATCTTTCTCCACGTGACTTTACACGACAATGTTCTTCCCAATTCAAGATTTCAAGTCCTACTGTACCTAAATTATAAAAAATAAAAATAAAAAAAAAAATCCAGCGGATTAAACAATTAGGCACAGCATTATTGGTTTGTTATTAATTATACTTTCTTCATAACGTGTGCATCATATTAAATTCAATATTTGTAGAATATATTATAGAATTATACTCTCTCTAATTTGCTAGGATATCAGCCACAAAATTTATAAGTCAGTCATGACACTTTACGAATCATGATAGAATGATATTGGTGCTGCAAGATATATATTTTTAGTATATTTTCATTCGACAAATTCATGGTTTCTAATTGAGTTAATTGTCCTAATAATAACTAAACTTATGTCCATGTCTTCGATTGTTCACTGAAGTTATAGATGTCGAGTTTTTGACACTAAATTTATCAAAATATTGGACGTTACTCACTAATATGACATATGTTATTGAACTCTAACATAATTGATAACATGGTAGTGGAATGCACAGGTGACATAACTCACGGCACATGAAATTGCCATATAAGAAAAGGCATGTTTGATTACTCACTTTATTTTGAAAGACAATATCTTTGATTGCTCAATATATTTTTAAAGACGTATTTGATTGCTCACTATACTTTAAGGGGGGCGAATTTTAGTCACTAAACTTGTAAAACTGACTGGAACTGTCTTGAAAATTTAAGAATGTTGTTCCAAGTATTACTTTCATACAGCAAAATAATTTTACATGTTACAGGGGAATGTTTGAAAACATTTTGCAATATACTTGAGCTCTAACATAATTAATAACATGGTAGTGGAATGCACAAGTGGCGTAACTCAAGGCACACGAAATTGCCATATAAGAAAATGCGTGTTTGATTATTCATTGTACTTTGAAAGACATATTTGATTGCTCACTATAATTTTAAAGACGTTTTTGATTGTTCTCTATACCTTAAGGCGATCGAATTTTAGTCACTAAACTAGTAAAATTGACTTCGGCCTATTTTAAAAATTTAGGAATGTTGTTCGAAGTATCACTTTCATACAACAAAATAATTTTACATGTTACACAGGAATGTTTGAAGACATTTTGCAATATACTTGAATTTTGTTGCAATTCTTTTCATATTTGATTTATAATTTAAAAGGTGTTATTGTCTTAGTGGGTCAGACTTTGGATGAGGATATACATCCATTGGCACATGGTACATGCTTCCTTGCATGGAACAATAATACGAAAAACCTAATATTTTATGGTACACAAAAGTACAGGAATTTTACTTTTGTTGCAAAAATGGCAAATAAATTGCTGAATTTAAATTGGATTGTATCTATGCATTACAAAATTTGGCCCATAAATAACAAATTCTTACAAAGATTTCTCTTTCAAGAATATTCAGCAATTAAGGATGTTCAGAAGTGTGACTCTACTTTGCAACAACTGTCTGAAAAATCTCTCTAATTCAGCCTCAAAACCTTCAATACTGGCATCAAGGTTTCGTAATTTTTTACTTGCCATTTGCACATCAACAGCCTTGGAATTGCTGTTTCTAATGGTAGCATTAAGGAAATTAAGAGCAAAATCTACACTTCCCACCTCGCTTAAAATATCATCATTTCTCTGAGAAGCCACAGACTTTAGCTTAGAAACAAAAGACCATCCCCCTAATGAAGCTGCAGGCGAAGACAAGAATACCAGAAGACTTCGAAAAATAGATATCGCGTAATTAGTTGTTTCTCTTAACATCCGAATCCCCATTGACAGATTGTGATTATCTGTAAGCGTCACACCATTTTTTCTCTCCAGGTGCTTGAGTTTTTTGAGACTTTTGGCTATAGATTTGTGCATTTTCTTTCTGAAGGAAAAGTACTCGTTCATATCCTTTTGGATGCTGGAATCTTGACCCTTGCGTCTTAATGCAGATTGAAGAACTTGAACTTGTTCCTTGATCATCGCAACCAATTCTATGATGGTGCCACAGGAATCCAGCAACTCGACCGAGTTTTCGAGTGATACTTCCACTATTTTTCCATCTTGATAATGTTGAACAAGTGATTTCTTAGTGGTTGGAGACTGCATCAACTCTTCAACACGGTTGTATAATTCTGCAAGCCCTAGAAGCCCAGATCGAATACCTTCTGAGGTTATGCAATCACATTTTTTCGAAATTTCTCTAGTTTTTAGTTTCTGCAGCTCAGCTTCAAGTTTTGCGGCATAGGGATTTAATCTTGAAGGCAAACTAATAGATCTAAAACGATTTTGTGCAGATGAAATTGCCATTTTTCTTTCTTGCATGTCTTCTCAATGTTCAAAAGGTGATTTATGTTTTGGGAAATTTGGTAAATCTATTTATAGTGACACAATTTCTTAATGGAATTGATTTTGCATGTGATTACAATGTTGATGCCATTTTCTTTTTGTTGCGTTGCTCACCATCAATCCGACATCTTCAATATTTTTATATCAAATTTATGCGTGGAAACGATAAAGAAAGTTGAACAATAATGTGCAGAGAGTAATAGAATTTTATATGTTTCTATGTCTCCCCAATCATTACCTTGGAACCAATTATAGGTATATCCATTGTAAGAATAAGGTTATACTCTAGAAAAACAATGGAAGAATAGGGTTATACTCTAGCACAAAGGGAGATGATAGCAAAGCATAGGCAGCCACGGTTTTTCTCTTGCAAAGCACGGTTTCCATCAGCCAAAGGAGTGGAATATACATAGGATTAGGTTGCAATTAAAATGGGCTAAGTCACACTAAATGGCCAACAATATAGGAGCCATCCAAGAAGTAGAATTTGGGCCAAAGCAACATTAATTAATGAGGAAATTACAGCTAGAATGAGTTTTAAATTTTCATTTTCATAAATCATGAATCAAGTTTAATTATACAGAAATCAGGTTTTAATTAATAATTCATATTTAAATATTATAAATTAAACCCTAATTCATTTCTATTTCTATTC